CAGCTCAAAGAAATAGAAAAAGAAATAAGCAAACTTCAAAATCAGTCGTCGCCAACAGTTCTCAAGAGGAAGAACGTGATATGAATTTAAGGGAAAGCGATTTTTCGGATTCTGAGGTTAGTGCTGATTTAATTCAATTATTACATTACTTCTAATACCGCGATTATTTATTTATATTCATTTTCTTCTGATATTTTAGAATAGTGAGAAAAACGAGAGTATGAGTTCCGAAAGTTCTGAAAATAGTTCCGCTTCCGAAGTTGAATCCATGTCCGTTTCTTCCGATGATGACTCGGTGATCCATACACGTTCAAGAAGGGAAGTCAAAACGATTGATTATTCCGATGAACATTATTACGAAAGTCGCGGCGTGTCCGAAAGCTCCAAAAGAAAGAATATGAATCCTTCGGATGGCGAAGGTAAAAGAAAGAGGAATAAAAAGCTCAAAACTACTGATTTTGCCATTTCTCGATCGGCGACCGAGGATTCTCAATCAGATCACGTAAAAACGCGTTCAAAAAGTGGTTCGAGTAAAAGGCGAGTTTACGTTGATGAAAGCGAGGAGGAAACTGAAGATGAATCCGAGGATGATGACTATGCATCTGGGCGAAGAAGTCAACGTCTGAGAATGGTCAAAGGCAAAAAAAAGGAAAAATATAGAGAACGATCGTCGTACTACGAAAAACCCGTTAGGCGGCAAATAATCAGGGACGTTTTAATAGTACCAAAGATTCCTATTCGAAAATACGACAAAAAATTCATTTCAGCTCACATGTCATGGTGCTTGAAATGCGGAACTGAGTCAAATAAGTCGGAGATTGTGTATTGTGAAAGATGTTCATTTATCTTCCACATTACATGTTTTCCAAAACCACAGAGCCGTGTTGATACCATCAAATGCAAGGCATGCCAATCCAGTATTGGGTCTTGTATCGTCTGCAAATTGGGTATTACACCACCGAATTATAATCAAGAAATATCCAAATCTCAAGATGTTAATTTACAAAAATCGGAATCATCTCCAAATGCAATGGAAATTTTACCTACGGAGAGTAATGAATCTCAGATAAATTCAAAGGGAAACGATAGCGGTGAATCCAATACAAATTTAGGGAATGATGATAACCATATTGAAGCTCAGGAAAGCTTAAAAAATGGTGGCGACAATATCGAATCTCGGGAGAACTCGAAGAATGGCGATGATAATATTGAATCTTTGGAGAGCAGCTCAAAGAATGGCGGTGGTAATTTCGAATCTCAGGAGAGCAGCTCAAAGAATGGCGGTGGTAATTTCGAATCTCAAGAGCGCTCAATAAATAAAGATAATAAGGAATTCCGGGGGGATGCGAAAAATAGAGATGTAAATGGTATCCAGGAAAATATTAAGAATAGAGATAACGGTGAATCCCAGGAAAGTTCGAAGAATGGTGATAAGGTTGGAAACGTTACTCCATTTAGGTCAAAGCTAATCGCAAACCCAATCGTTAATATCGACAAATTATTGTTTCGATGTACACGTTGCCATCTTGCTGCGCATCGACAATGCATACCTCCATTATATGATGAACAAGATTTAAATGAAAAGATGGTGTATTACCGGAGTAAATGGACGTGCCATTTCTGTCATAAGTGGGAATATAATATAGATAAAATCTTAACCTTTAGGCGTATACCGACGGAAGATGATGGCGATAACACTTTGTCAATGGAAATAGACGATAATCCAATCCCCTTCGAGGAATCTGACGAATTTTTTGAGACCGAGTATCTAGTCAAATTTGAAGACACATCCTATCGTAACGTAGAGTGGGTGCCTGGTCCTTGGCTGATGGGTGTTGCCCCTGGAAAATTTAGAAACTTCATCAAATCAGATCCGGAACAATTGCCCGTGGAAGTTGTGATTCATAGTGATTGGACCAAGGTGGATCGTGTCCTGGACGTTGAATATGAGGATGGTAAAACCCTCCGAGATCTCTTGAACAACATGAATTCTAAAAAGAAAACCAAAAAATCCAGCGGAAAGACAAAGATCAAAAGTGCGCTTATTAAATGGAAAGGGATAAAATATAGTGAAGGTTTGCATTTATCTCAGTATTGTGGGGTTATGCTGAAATTAATTTTGACTAGATTTCTCTGTTTATTGACCAGCGAACTGGGAAGACATTTCCGATCTCGAGAATACCAAGTTCAAGAATGCCCTTCAAATTCGCATCAACGCTTACAATATCGAGCCAGTGGACGATGACGATAGGGACACTGTATTTGTAGAAATAAAAAAACAACCTAAATGCCTTGAAAACCCTAAGCGCACAAGGGAACCTTTTAGCAAGGAAAACCCCAATCCCAAATATGATAATATATTGAAGGAGTACCAGTTAGACGGCTTTAAGTAATAATCACAATTACATATATACAAGGTTCCTTCATGCCTCAATCACTCCTAATTGATCTTATCATTCGTTTTTTAGTTGGCTGCGACATAATTGGTGCAACAGGACCTCTTGTATACTCGCCGACGATATGGGACTTGGTATTTAAATCCTATTAGTCATTGAGCTTCTTTACCCGCAATGGCGGTACTCATCGATCTGTTTTTTACAGGAAAAACGATTCAAGTCATATGTCTCATCATGTATCTGTACAAAGAGAAGGGACGTCACCCATTCATCATAGTTGCCCCCAAGTCCACGACAGCCGGATGGGTCAGGGAATTTAAAAGATGGGCTCACGAATTGGTGGTGGTTGAATTTCACGGGGAAGGGGACTCTTGTCAGTTAATCGCTGACTACGAATTATTTCCCGACAACGACAACTTGAAATGTCATGTGGTCGTCACAACGGCTGAAGCGATTGCATTTTACCCTTCATTGTTTTCAAGGGTTTCCTTATGGGAAGTATTAATTGTAGACGAAGCTCACAGTTTGAAGGCAGGAGAAACAACTCAATTATTCAGAAATCTAAATAAAAGAATAAATGTTTACTTTAAAGTGTTACTCACTGGTATGTCCTGAGAAAGATGCGTGGTATCATTCTGTCGCTGCGTAATCTGGTGTACTCACCTTCCTCAAAAAAATCCGTTTTCCAGGAACTCCATTGATGAATAAAATTGATGAACTCTTTAATTTGCTAAATTTCCTCGGACACAAAGAATTCTCGGATCCCAAGAAGTTGGCGGAAGAGTATCAGGGATTGCCCTCGGCGGAGCAGTTACCCGCGTTGCACAAATTACTCAAACGTTACTTCCTGAGGCGTACGAAGAGTCAAGTGGACTTGGGCCTTCCTCCCATGGTAAGAGAAGTATTTCCATTTTCGTCGTTGTTTTTAACACTTACTAACCGAGAGCCTTCGCAAAGGACGATGTCATTGTGCGTGTTAGCATGACGCCGATTCAAAAGAGAATCTACAAAGAAACCTTTGAGAAAAATGCTGAATTCTTACGACAAGTCGCAAAGTCCCGCAGTCGATCGACGGGTTTTTCGAACATTCTGATGACTTTGCGTCAAATCGTTTCTCACCCATATTTGATCAACCGAGAACAAGAGAACCTGAGCGATGAAGAACGGCAGAAAATGTTGGTTGAATCCAGTGGAAAACTCATCCTTCTGAAAGACATGCTGAAGAAATTACATGAAACCGGTCATAAAGTGCTCATATTTTCTCAGTTTCTGGATATGTTGTCCATACTGGAGGAATTTTGTGAAGATAATAATTATTTTTACACAAAACTTGTAAGTTCCATTTATTATTATTATTATTCACCTCTTTTTGTCCTTGTTCCTTTTTAGGATTTCTGATTAATTTCCTTGACCTCCACCAGGATGGGTCAACGTCTCACGAAGTAAGACAAAAAAATATTTCCGCTTTTCAAGCGCCAGACTCGAAAATTTTCTTATTTTTGCTTTCTACTCGGGCTGGCGGTGTTGGATTGAATTTAAGCAAGTATAGTTCGGTCGAATGTTGGTTTTCATTTCTTCTGATGGATAACATGACCAAAAACATTTTCCTATAAAGTGGCCGCGGATACCGTTTTCATCCTCGATCCGGACTTCAATCCTCACCAAGATCTTCAAGCATTGAGCCGAGTGCACAGGATTGGTCAAACTAAGGTAGAAGGTTTTTACATCACATTGAAAAATCAAATTCCCTTAACAAAATTGACCCTCTCCCCTGTATTCATTACTAGCCTGTAAAAGTGTTCCGATTTGTAACGCAATTTTCCGTTGAAGGTACGATATTAATCATGATTAATGTTTGTCTCACCATCTAAACGTTTTAAACTCTCGTTCATTCTAAATCCGTGCCGTAATTGTATTTGCTTTAGAGCGTATTGTCGAGAAGGGTAAACTCAAACTGGCTAGAACTGAATTGGTGGTAGAGAAAATGGACGACGAAGTCCTTGATATTGATGAAGTAGATGACATTATTCGCTGCGGTGTTCAAGCTTTGTTCAGCGAAAATCCAAATGAGAAACCAGTAGGGAATTATACCGAAGAGGCTATTGAAAAACTATTAGATCGAAGTCAGATGAAAGTCGAAAAGGAGGCCCCCGATGCAAATAGCTTGACCGGCTTCGCTTTCGCCAGAGTTTGGGATAGCGAAAATCAAATAATTGTCAATGAAGAAATAAGGATTGAAAATAGGGTCGAGGGTTCCGAAGCAAAAGATTTTTGGGTGAAACTCCTCGCTCACGTTGATACTGCGTCAAAAACTGAGGAACACCTTCTTGGAAAGGGCGCAAGAAATCGAAAGAAGATTGTAAGTGAAAATCCCCGGTTTGAAGTGTGTAAGGAAAACATTTCATTCGTCAGATTCATTGATGATCTGTCTTTTATTGGTGATAGGATTATTATGAAGGAGACCATAACACACCCAGAAAACCGAGGGGAAAGAAGAAAATCACTTTGGATCCAGACTTTGTTCCGGTTGAAGTTGTCGAATCCCCTTCATCTTCATCTAGCAGCGATGATGCAGAAGATAACATGGATCTCAGTGATGATAAGCAAAAATCCAAGTTACGAGGGAAAAAGATGAAGGAGAACGAGATCATCCTGAATTTGTCGCAAACTTCACAACTACCATCGTTACAATTGCAATCTCAATCGCTACCACAACTGCAACCAAAATCGTTACCGCAACTGCAATCACAACCACAACTTCAATCACAACCACAACTTCAATCACAACCACAACTACAACTACAATCGCAATTACAATCAATGACAATCGATCCAAAATTAATTCATTCACAAAAGAATAACAACATTTACAACATCCGAAATGTTAATCCATCAGCTTACTTTGGTTCTTCCGGTCCATCAACTTATAATCCAGAGTTGCATGATAATCTCCACTTTTTACCACATTCGCATGCCAACACGCCTCAGATTTTATACCTTTATCAACAACAACAAAAACAACTGCAGCAGGCATATTATAATCAGCAGTTTTATACCCAATTAGGTTCTAAACATTCTGGCGCTCCTTATTCTTCCAATCAGCAACCTCAAAATCAGAACATATATCCTAATCTTAATTCCGGAGAAACGACCAAACTTGATAATAATTCGAGCATATCAGCCAACCTCAATAATTCGAGCATATCCGCCAACCTTAGTAGTCCGAGCATAGCTGTGAACTTTAATAACGCTAACATAGCGGCCAACCATAAAAGTTCAAACATACCGACCAACCTCATAAACCAGAGCATAGCTACCAACCTCAAAAATTCGAGCATAACGGCCATCATCAAGAATTCGGATAGTCGGGCCTATCCCGTCTCCGGCGAATCCCCTTCCAACATACCAGATTCTAGCGAAAATCTTGAAAAACAAGCCAAGTTGACAAACATTTTACCCCGCCCGGTCGGAATCGACGTTTCTCAAGCGTCACACATGTCATCGTCCTCAGGAT